CAAAACCTGAATTCCCCGAACCTCGGGCTCAAAGGAGCGTTACGAGAACCGTACCTTAAGGACTGATACCAGGACTGGCAGGTTGAGTAGCAGTGCTGCAGTTTAGCTGGAAAAGAGGGCGGTGTCTGGGACCTGGGCGGGACCTGGGCGGGACCGGGGCGGGACCGGGGCGGGACAGGGGCGCGGGGCTGCAAGAGTTGGGAGCCCAGAGAGCTGGGAGCCCCGGAGGGCGCCTCTGGCCTTCGGCCCCACCCGCTTCCGGTAAGGGAACTTGTGGCGCGCACATCCTTGAGGGTGCTCGATGGACTTTGGGTGAGGTTCCTTTTGAATCCAGACTCCCGCGGTTCCTCAGGGATGCTGACAGCAAGAGACTCGACAAACAGAGTTCAAGAAAATGAGCAAAATGAGGGTTCACAGAGGAGAGAAAACAATGTATCGATGTGTCAAAGCAGGTTACAGTGAGGGCTGGTTGGAAACTCTACCCGGGTCTACCCCGCCTTGCAAATTGCTTAGTCCACGCGGAGACGGAGGTGTAGTGGTTTCCCTCTCCATTTGTGCACAGGGAGGTAGTAGTGGGACCCGAGTCGTGGGCAGCAAACTGGCTATGGAGTGGACGAAGATGGGATCTCCACGACCACCTGATAACCAAAACACTTAGGTCAAAGTAGAGTTAACTACTGGATAAGAACAGCCAGTTGGGAAGAGTCAAGGTCGCAGGTGATGTAGTACAAACCTAGGCCACTAGGACAGTCCCCAGCCTGTGGAGGAAGTAGCCGGGACAGTGCTCTGTGAACCTCAAAAGAGACTTCTACGAAGAAGATTAAATGGTGTTACATGTCTTTAACCCCAGAACTCCCAGAGGCTGAGGCAGGAAGATCACAAGTTCAAACTCAGCCTGGGCAATTTAGCAACCTAGCCAGACCCTGTCTCTAAATTCAAAGGAATGTAGCTCATGGGAAGTCTCTGAGTTCGATCCCCAGTGGGGGAGACTTCAAGGAAGGCAGGGTCCTATGCAGAGAACCTGGAGAAGCAGTTTTAAGAAAGGTGTGCTTGAGCCCGGCATTTAGCTCAGGGGCACCGTGCCTGCCTTGCTAGCATAAGGTCCTGAGTTCAATCCCCAGTACCACAAAAGGTTTGCTGAACTAATCAGCACACCTGGGCAGTCTCGTCAGTGCCTTGTGCATTTATGAAGCAGAATTTAAAAGCATATCAGTTTTCCTAGCTGCAATCAGTCTAGCAGCTCGCTACTCAGGTTCAGCCCCACCTCCTTTCCCATAACTAGTGGCCTCCCCCGGATACTAAGGTAGACAGTTATATTCCTATAAATGACAAACCATATGCTCTGTTCCGTTTTTGTTTGGGGGGGGGTTGTTGTTTGTTTTGTTTTTGGTAAAGGGGACAGAACTGGGACCTTTTGCTTGCAAGGCAGGTGATGTCACCACGGAGCTAAATAGCCGGCCCAAAACGGCCCAAGAACCATATGCTCTGTATACAACTATGTTCTGTAAACCAAGTTTATGACGCTCTTTTGCCATATGATTTATAAGATGCTGTCTTTTTTTTTTTTTTTTTTTTTTTCTGGTACAGGGAATCAAGCTCAGGACCTTTCGCTTATGAGGCAGGTGTGGTGCCACTGAACTAAATATCCAGCCCTAAGACACTGTCTTCTTACAAAGCCAAATTACTCAACTTTCTGACCTTGTCTTGTTCCCGTAAACTCACTGCATTGCTAGAAAGATCACCCCCTTCAACTAAATATTGAAAAACTGGCACTTCTCTTTGTTCAGCCCCTCAGTCTTGGGACACAAGTCTGCTGAGCCAGTGTTCACTTTAATAAAGCCTCCTGATTCCAATTTGGTCTCTCTTGACCCTTGGAACATTGCAACATCCTTCCTATAGGCCTTTCAGTATCCACTGCTAAGATCCACACCTAAATCTGGGAGCCTCTACCTATATCTATCTCACTGCTTAGTCCTCCCACATAGTAGCTTTTTGCATTGGAAGAGTGTTCCCCCAAACACGAACAGAATTTTCTCTCATGGCTTCCTGATTTGTTGTTGTTGTTTTGGGGTTTTGTTTTTGGTTTTCTTTTTTGCACTGGGGTTTAAACCCAAGGTTTTGACACTGCAATACATCCCCAGCTCCAGCCCCCACCCCCTTTTTATTTTGAGACAAGATCTCACTAGGTTGCCCACGATGGGCTCAAATTTTCCATCCTAGGGCAGGGGATTTAGCTCAGTGGTTCAGCTGCCTGCCTCGCAAGCACAAGGACCTGAGTTCGATACCCGGTACCAAAATAAATAAATAAATAAAATAAAATTTCCATCCTTCTGCCTCAGCCTCACAGAATGCTAGGGTTACAGGAGTAGCCACCACATCTGGCTTGCCTGTATCACCTCCAAACTTCCTAATTAATCTTATCTTCCTTTCTTTCCCATAGAATGTAGACTACAAAAAAACAAAACAAAATGAATGGTCTCCATCTACTTTTTATTTTGTTCACAGCTGTACCTCCAAGACCTAAAACAGCCTGGTACTCACAAGGTACTGCCTAGCCTTACTCTGCTAGGCATTGTCCTTCGGGGCACTTTACCCATTTGGTATTAGGGATTGAATTTAGGATATTGTGCTTGCCAGGCAGGCGCAGAACCACTGAGCTAAATCCCCGCCCTACTCTTTTAGTTCTTAATATTTAATATTAATATTATTCCCAACCTCGTTTCACAGATGAGAAAATAGGGTTAACACATTACAAACAGGAAAGTAAATATATTAATCACTCCCTTTATTTTGGATATATATTAGTGGCTGCATGTTTGTAATCCCAGCACTCCAGAGGCTGATGCAGGATTACATCGAATTTGAGTACAACCTGGGCTGCATAGTGAGTTTAAAGCCACACTGAAATATAAAGTGAGACCTTTTCTCAAAACAAAGGACTAGGAATGTAATTCAGTACAAAAACGCTGGTTCAACCAGAGAACAGTAATAAATAAATCGAGAGGGGATCGGGAGTTGTGGCCACTCAGGAGGCTGAGGCATGATGACTCCAAATTTGAGGCTGGCCTAGGTTACTGAGATCCAGTCTCAAAAAAGAAAAAAAAAAAAAAAATTT